GCAGTGAGCTGGGGCCCCTTCGAGGGGTGTAACAGATGTGTGACTGGAGACCCTGAAAGAGAGGAGGGAGTGAGCTGGGGGCAGAAAATGTACCTGAGGAAAGAATGGCTGAAAACGCCCCCGATTTGACAAACGCCGTCAACCCACGCGGCACCCGACAGCTCGGGACACCAGGCACAGGCCACGTGAGGCAACGACCCCGCGCACCAGACTCAACTGCTCGAAGCCGGCGGTAACGGAGACACGGTGAAGGGGCCGGTAAGGAGAGGACACGTCACACGCAGAGCAGCAGGCAGGGCTGGCGGCAGGTGTCCTGCTGGAAGCCAGGGGGGTGACGGGGCCGAGAAGCGGCATCTGCAAAGTGCTGAACGCACAAAACCCAAACCAGAATCGCAGACCCAGCCGGCGTTCTCTCAGGAACAAAGATTAAGTAGAGATCTTTGCGGACACACAGCGCCGGAAGGAGATGGCCACCAGCGGGCCTGTGCGGCAAGAAGTGGTGAGGGACGCTTTGGGCAGACACCCGCGTGTGCATAAGGAAACGAGGGTCACTGCAGAGGGAGACTCTGTGGGGAGGTAGAGACCTTTTCCTATGTCATCTCTTCTAAAAATGTAAGACATGGGTTTTATACAACGATAATGACCACGTATGACCTGTGGGTAAAATGTGGGGCACGGTTATCAAGAGAGGGCGCTATCTTCAGGTGCGCGTACTACCTGTGGAACGGTGTGTCATTTGAAGGGGGGCTGTCTGTGCCACGTCCGTAAACCCCAATTCAAAAATAACAAAGGGTTACAGCTAATAAGCCAACGTAGGAGACACAAGAGAATCATAAAAATACGAAGTGAGGGGCGCCTGGGTGGTGCAGTCGGTTAAGCGTCCGACTTCAGCCAGGTCACGATCTCACGGTCCGTGAGTTCGAGCCCCGCGTCAGGCTCTGGGCTGATGGCTCGGAGCCTGGAGCCTGTTTCCGATTCTGTGTCTCCCTCTCTCTCTGCCCCTCACCCGTTCATACTCTGTCTCTGTCTGTCCCATAAATAAATAAAAACGTTGAAAAAAAAATTTTAAAAACAAAACAAAACAAAAAAATACGAAGTGAATCTAGAAAAATTCAGAAAATGACAAAAAACAGAACAGAGACTACGTGGGACCGATAGAAAACAGCTATGCGATGGACTGGAGTCTAAATACATTAATAACCACAGTATGATTATCCAGACCTGTGTAGAGCGTCTGGATATCCCAATAGAAAGATGATCAGTTTGGATAAAAAAACCCAGACCTACAAGAAAATGGATTTTAACTATAAAACACAAATAGCTTGAGTAAAGGATGAGGAAAATACTCCACGCTGACACTCATCGACAGGAAGCCGGAGCGGCTACTTCAGCATCAGACAAAGTGGACTGTGGACACGAGGACCCTGCTAGGGATAAAGAAGGCCATCCCATGATAATAAAGCGGCCAACTCATCTGGAGGACACAACAACATTAGAGATTTTCGCACCCGGTAACAGAGTTTCAAAACAAAAAAAGCTAAAGTGGGCAGAACCTCAAGGACAGACGGACAAATGGGCGCGGGGCTGCACAGGTCGTAAGATACGAGATTAACACACACAGATCAGTTTTGCTTCTCTGCACTTGCTGGTGCCATCAAATTAATCAAGTTCCACGCCACCCCCATCAAAATCCCAGCACACTTTTTGTGTGGAAAATTAGCAACCGATTCTAAAATTCGTATGGAACTGTAAAAGGACCTAGAATGGTCAAAACGACTTTGAAAAAGAACACGTTTGGAGGACGGACGCTACCTGATTTCAAGACTCATTACAGGGCCGAAGTGATCAGGACCATTTGGTTGGGGCATAAAGGTAAACAAGAGATCAATGGGACAGAACAGAGGGCCCAGAACAGACCCACACACACACGGAGAACTGCTTTTTGATAAAGGTACAGAGGCAGTTCAGAGGGGGCATACAATCACAAAACTTCTAGAAGAAAACATACAAGAAAATCTTTGTGATCTTGGGTTAGTCTTATCTTTCTTGTCTTAGATAAGACACTGAAAACACAGTCCATGAAACAACAAATTGATAAATCAGACTTCATCAAAATTAAAAACTTCTGCTGTTCAAAAGACATCACTGAGAGAATGAAAACACAAGTCACAGACTGGAAGAAAAGATTTGTGAAGCGTATATGTGATAAAGGACTCCTAGTTAGAATATACCAAGACTCTCTGGGGCGCCCGGGTGGCTCAGTCAGTTAAGCGTCCAACTTCAACTCAGGTCATGATCTCGTAGTTTGTGGGTTTGAGCCCCGCGTTGGGCTCTGTGCTGACAGCTCCGAGCCTGGAGCCTGGAGCCCCCTTCCGATTCTGTGTCTCCCTCTCCCTCTGCCCCTCCCCCGCTGGCACTCTGTCTCTCTCAAAAATAAATGTTAAAAAAATTTTTTTAAAGAGAATATATAAAGACTCAAAACTTAATTAAAAAACACACTAAGAAACTGGCAAAAATTTTGAACACACACTTCAGCAAAGAAGGTATAGATGTCCAATAAGCACAAGAAAGGAAACTCAGCGTCACCGTCATCAGGGAAATGCAGACTGAAGCCACAATGAGCTACCACCTCACACGCCCCTGGATGGCTAACAGGAGAGACAAAGAGCATTGCCGTATGTCGCTGAGGACGTGCCGTGCCTGGAACCGCCCTGCACTGTGGACAGAATGTAAAATGGTACGACCCCCTGGAAGCAATGTAGACACTTCCTAAAAAGTTAAACAATATACTTGTCACGTACACGGTCCAGGCCCTCCACTCACGGGTATTTATTTACCCAAGAGGAATGAAAGAATGCATCCACACAGACACGTGCATGGCAATGCGCGCGTGAGCCTGCCCTGCTGACGCCTCCTCGCCGCGGTTTGGGGCCACTCCTTGGAGCCCAGCTCGCCACGGGGCCTGGGGTCGGTGACACGCAGGCGCTCTTCCTGACTCCTGCCGGGTGTCCCACGTGGAGTCCCCCACAGCGCTCCCCAAATCGCTCCTGGGCTCCTGCTTCCACGTGTCTCCAGCCTGGACTGTGCGGACCTCAGAGCCCAGGTTTCCACGGTCACCCCCAGCAAGGCCCAGCCGCGTGCCCGTCCCCGGCCACCGCTACAGCCCTGCCCTTCATGGACGGCGAGTCGTCTTTCTAGAGCTCAGACTGAGAGCCTTCCTGCCTGCCTGGACCCTCTCTTTCACAGCCCACTTCTGATCTGTTGGGAATCCTGTCAGTTCTCCTCTGAGATGCCTCCGGAACACGGTGCTCTGTGGCCCAGAGCCCCACCTTCCGTCGTCGGTCCCTGCAGCCCCCCTCGCTCAGACAGCCGCATGGAGTCTCCTGTGTCTCCTGCTCTCTTCTTTTTACCCGCGTGAGCTCCCGCCGCCCCTCTGCCGCTCTTCTCCAGAACACCCCACTTCCGACCCCTCCCCACCGTGGCTTTACCCTCCGTCCACGGCCTCTTTCACCTTCTAAGATGCTTACTCAAGCCGTCCACTGGCCGTCCACCACCCCAGCGCCGGAGGAGGCCTGGGTCCATCACGTCCCTGCCAGCTCCTGGGCCTGGAGCCCGTACCCTCGACCAGGGTGTCCGGGTGGTCTGGGCACCCAGGGCAGACAGGAAGGGCCCTGAGAGGCAGGCACTGTGGGCAGGCTGTCCCCGGCTACTGGATGCCTGCTCGGTCTGGAGAGGCTGAGGGTCTCTGCCTTTGAGTACCCCCTCTGCCGGAGGCCCAGGTCCTTTGCTGTCTGTCCTGAGGGAGTGTGGGGGCTGTCCACGGCGGTGCCGGTGTCCCACCCGGGACTTCAGTGCCCGGAAGAGGCACAGCAGGCTCTGGAGGGGAGCACGGTGAGCAGACCTGACCGTCGGCTCTGGAGTGGAGCGCATGGCTCTGCAGGCTGGGCAGAGAGCCACACTCTCTGGCCGGGGGGTGGCTACTGTCACCGTGCGTGGCCCGGCCTCCCCAGCCCACAGTGGTGGTGGTGGGAGAGGTGAGTTCTACTAATTAGAAATGGTGTTTTCATTATTGTCATTTTAGGAAGTTTGGCACAAGCAACACCAGGACGACCTTGCAAGCCAGATATTTAAGAAGAGTTGGGCAGGGAATGAGATTCTAATCCATGTGAGAAGGAACCAGCTTCTGTAGCCAGCAGGCCGGCCATGGGGGGGGGAGGCGGAGGGGGGCTGCACGTGCGCACAGGGGCGGGGTCGAGTGGAGGGCACAGACAGGAGCCAGAGCCAGTGGGGGGCAGCGCACAACATTTATTGAACTCTGCCATGGTGCAGAGGCGCTTCCTGGCCAGCCACCCTGGAAGATGCCTGGGGGCCCACGCGTGCGTCCCCAGCACATGACGCGACGACTCAGTGAGGTCAAGACTCCAGCACCCACGGCCTCACCTGCACGGCGGGTTAGGACCCTGTCCTCCGTTCTCCTTCCCCGCAACAGAGGGAGCGCGCCCCTGCCCCCAGCGCAGGCCCGGTGGGCACGTGGGAGCGAGCACAGGCTTCGGGGAGCAGAGTCAGCACGGGGTGGGGGAACAGCTGGGCGGGAGCGAACCCGTTCAAAGCAACCACGGTTCTGGGAGAGACGGCTTGTGGGAAGTGCTGTCGGAATGTCAAACCAATTCTTTAACAGGTACACTGACACTAAGGGACAGTATTTCTAAAATGTCACAGATGGGAATGCCCCCAAAGCATTTAAAATAATTAACACTGCATGCCAATGCGTGAACAGACGAGCATAAATTAATTCCCAGAGAGGTATCGGGGACAGAGCCTGGAGCTGACACAGAGAGAATATAGATTTGCTCTGTTGGTGTGTATGTCTACAGCACATAACTTTCGTTAGTAAAGAAAACCTCTATTTATATTTGCGACGCAGGGCAGGTGGGCGGTCTGTACAGAGTGTGCGAGCCGGGTGGAGGTCAGGTTCACGGAGCGGAGGCCGAAGGGCAGGATTAGAGTGCGCCCATCCCAGTGACCTCAGACGTCAGCCTGGAAGACACAGAAGCACAGAGGAGACAGGTCACAATGTTCTCATAAAACGGTTCCAGAAGCGAAAGGCTCACCTCGTGTGTTTTTGTTTTTTTTAAGTTTATTTATCTTGGGAGAGAGAAAGGGAGCAGGGGAGGGAGAGAAGGAGTGGGAGAGAGGGAATCCCGAGCAGGTTCTGCGCTGTTAGCACAGAGCCCGACACGGGACTCGAACCCACTCGAACCCACGCACCGTGAGATCATGACCTGAGCTGAAATCAAGAGTCAGACCCTCGGCCCACGGAGCCATCCAGGCGCTCAGCCCTGTGTGTTCTTATAGCCTTTGTGTCCGTCTCCCTCTTGGCTGTGACAGATGTGTGGCCATGACTGGAGACCAAAGCAGAGCAGAGGGAGGAGGACCCACCGGCGACCAGGTCGGCGGGGTCTGCCTTCCCTGTCACCACATCAACGGAGTGACAATAACCCCATGGACAAGCACAGGCCACCACAACCATCTGTACGCAGCCGCTGCAGGAGGGGCACCGCGGAGTGGAGACCGCCTTCTGAGAGCCCAGACGTTCCGAGTTAAAGAGGAGGGTCCTGCCTCCCCGGGTGTGGTCACGTGCTCTCCGACATGCGCCTGGGCAGGGCAGCTGAGGTGAGCGTCCCAGCCCCAGGACCTCACCTGCCCCACGGCCTAACCTCTGACCCTCACACAGTCCCTGGATCCGCTGCTCAGCGGGGTCTGGGTGGCGGGGAAGGGGCGCGTGGGAGCAGAATGGCCCGGTACTGTGATCTCTGAAACCACATAACCGAATCAACCCAAGTGTTTGGCTGACCCCTGGCCTTCCCGGAAACGCTCCGGCCTGTAACGACCTAGCCCTGCACTGGAGACGCTCCATGGTGAACGGTCAGGTGTGAACGTGCAGAGGGGGTGTGGGGGCCCGAGTCGGTGTGGTGACTGTCTCCATCACGCCCACCCCCACCCCCGGCCAGGAGAGAGAAGCCCCCAGAGGGGACAGGGGTCCGGGCTCCCACCAGGGCCCTCCAGTCCCCCTGAGCACCCTGTCTGCCAGCAACACGTTGGGCAGGGCCTTGTGAACACTCACCTGGCATTGATGAGGTACTGGGCAAGGCTGATGTTGGCTGGGGTCCCCGTGATGGTGATCTGGCGCTCCGATGACCCTTCTGTGGCATTGGCGATTTTGATCTGAGCTCCAGACATCTGTCGAATTTCATTGATTTTGGTCCCTTGGCGTCCAATTATGCAGCCTATTAGCTAGAAAAAAGGACAGAGGACTTCCTTAGAGAAGGGACCCCACCCCAGCTGAGTGTGCACAGGGCCCTGGGGAGGCCCCTGGACAGCCTAACCTTGGTCTGCGCCCCACTCCACGAACTCCAGGCTGCCGACGGCCGGGCCCTGCCTGGTGCCCCTGCTGCCACAGTCCTGACAGGTCCGCAGGCCGAGAGGCACCTGCTGTGTCACCTGCCCTGGTGCCCTTCAGGGCCTGGGCACCGGGGAGCACGCAGGTGCCAGCACCAGGGCCCTCTTGGCCGCGTCCTCGGCTGGAGAAGTGTTTGAAGCCAGTTTAAAGCTTGTTGCTGCCTAAAACCTGTCTCTTGACGAGCCTGGGTGAAAGTCTGAGGACGCATCGGATGTTCCCTTTCCTTCCCGCCGTGTGACCCGTTTAGGTGGGATGCAGTGACCTCTGGGCACTCTGGGCCATCTGAAGGAGTAGTCAGTCATCATGAATCAAGCAGTCAGAAGGACCAGAGCCGGGGCCCCTTGGGACACAGAGGCAGCCACGCATGGGGCCGGACGGCAGCCTGGGGTCTAGACCAACTCTCTGTGGGGGCCCACCCTGCAGTGTAGGGGCAGTAGGGCCCCAGAGAGGCCTCCACAGGGGGCAGCTGGCACCTCTTGGTGTTTACCAAGGGCAGAACGGGGCGCTGCCCTTAGCCAGGGGCCGCCGAGGGCAGCTCTGAGAGCACACACGGGCTGGGGTGGGCCCGGGGCAGCCCTGTGGGGAAGTCTTCTGTTCCAGCCTCAGAGCCGTCCGACGGAGGGGCTGGAGACGGTGTGGGACGGTGCGCGGGGAGGAAGCCCATTTACACACGACACACCTCAGCACCTAGGCAGTGACCGCAGCTCGTGGGGACACAGGTGCGTCCCGACTCGCTCTCGTCCCTAAGGTGACCTGCAGCATCTCAGTTCTGCTCTCCTTTCTGGGGTTAGGTCGGCTGTCTCACTGCACCATCAATCTCTCCAGACGTCCAGAAAGACGCATCTGCTCCAGAGCTGCCCGGCTTCCTCTACGCCCTGCCCCCACCCAGGCCCCGCCCACTGCACACCAGGCCCCACCCCTCAAGGTCTGTGAGAGTGACTTCCAGGGTCACCCTTCTGGATCTTTGACTTGTCCTTCCCTGGCCGCAGAGGAATCCTGACAGCGGCTCCTCAGTGGGGCAGGCAGGTGACGGCTGGGCATGTGGGCTGGCATGGGGGCAGCACCGGCCCCTGGTGGAGGGAGCATGTGGGGCCAGTCCCCAGAAGATGCCAGTGCTCAGGAGGGCCCCTGGGCTTCCTCCCCTCCCATCCTCACACTTTGGCCACTAGCAGCCCAATCTCCCTTCTAGAACCTTCCCCATTCAGTGCAAGTAGCCCCAGCTGAGCTAAGAGCCTCCTGCAGAACCGGCTTGTTTTCTCCTCCAGTAAAGCCTATTTGAGGAAATGATCTCCTCTGTCTGGCACGAAGACCCGCGTTCTCTCAAATATCTTCCTCTTCCTATTTTCTTGCTGAAAACGTCCTGACGCCCAGCCCTTGATACTTCCCGGGGGCCTCACACCTGAGGGGCCCTGAGCTCCCCTCTGCCGGGCTGGGGGCTCGGCCCTGAAGCCGCCCCTCACTCCTTACTCAGGTGGAACACGTCCCTCTTCCAGACAACACTGGGAGCACGAGCGCCACCGACAGGGACATGGGGCTGAGTACACGGCTCTCGTGGCTGGTGGCTGTGTCCTCAGCAGCTAGAAAAGGGATGCAGCAAGTGAGAGGCCTCCCTAATCTGGCGGGAGCAGCTTAGGGGCCCCGCACCTGGCCTCTCTGGGTCTCCTGACCCTGCGGGCACCCAGCCCGTGCCCAGCCCTCTGCTCTCACCGTGAGCCCCAAGAGGAACCCAAAGGAAGGTGACAGAGATGCTTTCAAGTAACACGGTCCCTCCTAACTGCATCCAAAGCTGAACCCCAGAGGAACCGCTGTCTGACCCTTAGGTCTCTGGGTGACGTGGGTGGGGACCGGGGACAGGGCCCAAGTGTAGGGTAACTGCATGCACGGCGACAGCATGGGCCAAGTGAGTTCTGAAACAGGCAGTGAGCGCCTAAAGTGACACCAGCCCAAGGCCAATGATACCAAGGCCAGGGGAGTACAGGACCACCACCACAGGCAGCCCCACACACGGCTGCCGGCCCTGACCCCAACTGGGTCCCTGTGGCCTCGCCGGCAGGCAGCCAGACTGTGGAACCTACGTGTGACGTAGGTCACTGCACGTGCCTGCCATCCAGAGGCTGTGGCGACACGTAGGTGTGGGCAGGACCTCCCTTTGCAGTCTAGCTTTGACCAGGGACGGAGAAGTGCGGTATGGCAGGCGTGCATCTGGACATGGGCTCTGGGCACAGGTGCCTCCCCTGGGGGGGGGGGGTCAGGGCGGGGGGGCACGAGAAAGTCCCCAGCAGAGCTGTCACAAGGTCTCCTCCCAGGATGAGCCCCCTCAGAGCACGCGGATCCAAGAAGACACCCTGCCCCGGAGGAGGCTGGCAGCACGGCGCTGTGGGCAAGGTGGCACGTGTGTGCCCAGGATGCACCCCGCTCTCCCAGACAGCCTCATCCTGTCCCGTTTGCCCCCTGGGCTCATCTCTGCTTAGAAGGAAGGCCCGGACAAGAGGAAGGTGCCTGTCGTTAGTGCAATGGTTTCAGCAGAGGCTGGGAGGAGAAGCCCCACAGCAGAGAGTGGTCCCTACAGCTACCACGTGGGTGAAGACCGGGGGCTGCTCAAGGATCGTCACGCGGGAGGACAGAGCAGGGAGCCCCGGGAGCAGAAACACTCTCCCTTGGAGGACGCAGGAGCACGTCACCCATGAAGGCTCCGGGCCTGCGGCTGGCCGCCAGGGCCCCGACGAGGGGGTGTTTCCTGGGGGTGGGGGGCGGTCCCGTCCTCTGGCCCTATGCCTCACTCCTCTCCTGCCCTACTGCTCATCTCTGTCCACACTCACGAGGGACCATCCCCCTGAAGCCACGACTCCGTGCTTCTCTTAAGGAAGAGGAGGGACTTCCTGCCCAGCTGGTTCAAGGGGCAAAGCAGTGAAGGATCCTCAGGAAAGGCCTCAGTTCTAGGGTTGAAGAGGCCAAATGACAGGTGAGCTGGGAAGGCCACGTCGCCCACACAGCAGCCTCCTCTGCGGGCATGGACAGCTGTCCCTCCAGGACACGTGGCCCACACCTACCCTGGTGTCTTGGTTTGGGATCAGAGTCTGCATCTTTAGGATAATCCAAGGGTTCAGAGGACAAAGTGGGTAGGGCTGAGCATGTGGCTCAGCTGAGCCCTGGGCGGGAACAGGCAGTGGGCACCAAATACAGGCATCCAGACACACCCGGGGCACCCTGCTTGCGGGAACCCCAGACCCCCTGAGGCCCGGGGTGCACGGGGCAGGTCCACTCCAGAGCATTCCTGGACCACCTGTTCCTTAAGGGCCAACCCTGAAGCAGACTCCTTAGATGGGAGACTCGGGGGTCTTGGGCCTGTGGCCAGCTCTGGCATCTGAATCCTGAATAAAACCCCACCCCCCTTTCCTGTCTAGAATCTCAGGGGTGTGACATCACATGCCGTCTGTGGACATTGCACCTAGCCATGGGAAGGTGGGGAGTGGTCCCGGGCAGGGTGGGGGCGGGTGAGGGTTCAGGCATACTCACATCGTTGGGAATGGTGAGCTCGTGAGTACTGGCCGGGGGGCTGACGTCCAGACCTGGGCACACCAAGGGGACACGGTTAGCCTGGTAGCAGGTGGCTCATGTCAAGCCCAGCACCCGCCCACACGGCCCACATGGGCCCAGGCTCTGTGAGTGAGCTCAGTCCCAAACCGCAACCAACCGCTGGAGCCCCAGCTTCTCTCGAAACAAGGAAAAGAATGCCTGAGCATGGGCACCTCGTGGTTTTACTCCTGTGCGTGATGGCTCGGGATGCCCTTCACAGACTGCTGGGGGACCCGTGCTGAGCGGCTCTTTGCATGTGTGTGTGTGTGTGTGTGTGTGTGTGTGTGTGTGTCCCTGGGCTCTCGGCCCCCTCTGCACCCCTGGTCGTGTGTGTGTGTATGTGTGTGTGT